TGAGGGTGCCCACACGCTCTGCCTGTCCAGGAAGACGGCAGCCAGGCTCTCTCCCAGGCCAGGCGGGGGGCGGGGGCATTGCCAGAATACTGAAAGCGACAACTAGGAGGGGGGGGGGCAAATGGTGGGAGTGCGCCTGGGGGGGGCGCATGTAAAACCCACCCAAACAAGGAGCTGGCCCAGGCACTTGGGGCCTGTGGGGGGAGCGGGGGAGAGAGGGGGGAGGGGAGGCCGCAGAGCAAAGGGCCAACGGGACCCCTTGAGACGTGGGGCAAGGATGGGGTTAGACAGGCAGGAGACTTGTAGCCCAACGCTAGGCCAGGATTTCTCTCCCCCTCAGGCCTTTACACCAAAAGGCCTTTCTACACCAGCACCTGAAATGGTCCAAAATCTCTTTCTTGTGCCTCAGCCAAAGGTTCCTTCCAATTGAAACCGCCGAGGCTTCTCCTGGGTGGCTGGATCTGAAATTCCGCCCCGGCACAAACCTCCAGCAGCCCCGGTCCACAGAGAAGCCTGAAAAGGGGGCGCTTACAAAGCCCTTTGAAAGAGGCCATTCGGGCGCGTATTTCAAGGAAGAGACCAAAAGGATGCAGGAGACGCCACGAGGCAGAAGGTGCCCTCCGAGCGAGTGGACTCTGGATCACAGGTGCCAAAAGATGCATCTCAACTGTTCTGCCGTCTTGCTTCCATTGTCGCAAGCAACGAGGCCACACTCGACATCAGATGATGGCTGACCTACCACCCGAGCACCTGAGCTCCGAACCACCGTTCACCAGTCTAGGCCTCGATGTATTCGGCCCCTGGTCTGTGTAGGCCCGACGGACCAGGGGCGGTCAAGCTAACAGCAAACGATGGGCAGTACTCTTCACATGCCTCAGCATTCGAGCGGTCCATATCGAAGTCATCGAATCTATGGATGCCTCTTGCTTCATCCACGCCCTGAGAAGGTTTCAAGGCCGCAGAGGCCCAGTCAAGGTATTCAGATCTGACTGTGGAACGAACTTTGTAGGCGCCTGTAAAGATCTACAAATTGAAGATGGCATTCGCCCTGACGCGCCACTCGACGGCTACCTTAAAGCCAACAAATGCACATGGATATTTAATCCTCCCCACGCACATCTCACGTGGGAGGAGCGTGGGGACGCATGATTGGAATAGCTCGTCGGATCCTTGATTCGATGCTGGCGAGAGCACCTAAACTGACACGTGAGACTCTATCTACCCTTATGGCAGAAGTCGCGGCCACCATAAATGGTCAACCTTTAGTTCCGGCCTCTTCAGACCCTGAGAATCCGACCATTCTCAATCCAGCTGCCTTGCTAGCTCAGAAGACGGGCGATTGGCCGTTAGGGAACTTTGAATCTAAGGACTTGTGCAAACAACAATGGAGACAAGTTCAACAGCTCGCCAACACCTTTTGGAACCGTTGGAAGCAAGAGTACCTATCTACCCTACAAGACCACCATAAATGGAAGACCAAAGAACCAAAGGAGGGAGACCTTGTCTTGCTGAAAGACAAGGGTGTGCATCGCAACGCGTGGCCTATGGGACTTGCGTCTCAAACCACGCCCAGCTCCGATGGACTTATCCGCAAAGTCAAGGTCCTGATGGCGAGGTCACTAGATTCCTCCTGCGACCATCAGACCTTTACCAAGAAGCAGATGGCCGGTCACTGACCTGGTGCTACTGCGGAGAAAGGCCGAACTTGAAGATTGAACCTCAAACTTTGCATGCTTTGCTTTATTTGATGCTTCATTAATGTTTACTGTTTCTCTTAGTAACATAGCTAACTGTTTATCTCAGTTTATAGTTAATTTTCTCTCTCTCCTTTTAATAGTGGAATTTACAATTCCAGGCGGGGAGTGTGCTGTCCAGCCAGTCTATGGGAATTGGATAGTTAGGTAGCAATTGTGAGCTGTCCCCTTAAGGGAATGCCTCATGGTAAATGTAGTTAAGGTATCCTGGGAAATGTAGTCCATATCACGTGACCACATCTGTAATCCTGATTGGTCACTAAATTGACCCTCGAGGGGTTGGGGGAGGTTTTCCTCACTCTTGGCTGCTAGTGGTAACTCCTCTACTCCTACCGCTACAACATGGGGGGAAAAGGATAGAAGATAAATCATCTTTTTACCTACAAGGCAGATATGCAAAGGATTGGTCATTAAAGAAGAACTTTGTCACAAATGTGAGTTATGAGGATACCTGATGAACCAATAAACGTACTTTGTTATGGACATCTTGTTGAGTTTATCTATCTGCATCTGCACAGCTTCTGCAAATCCCAAAAACGTTAACCTTAGACTGTCTACTATTGACCTCACCCCTTTCCTAAGAGGTCTGTCGGGGGCGTGCATAAGCGCACCAATGTGCCTACCGTCCCTGTCCTATTGTTTCTTTTATATTTTTATTTTTCTTATACGTATCCATATATTCATAACTATGTTTTTACTTGTACCTATTATCTTGTAAGCAATTGACAAAAATCAATCAATCAATCAATCAATAAATAAAAAGATGCAGCTGCCAGGTTAGAGAGAAGGCTGAATTTCACACAGCCTTGTTTTGCAAGGAACAGATCCAGAGACAACGGCAGAACCATTAAGTACTTACTCCTAGATGAAGGACTCTCTCTCTCCCTTCCTGGGAAGACACTGGCCCCAATTTAGGGGAGAGCAACCCAAAGAATGCCCCTCCCTCCATGCCCGTCGCTGGCTTGGTATTCAAGGATGCTCTCAGCAGCTGAGGCAACCGTTCCCATGGCACAGAGGGCTACAGAGTGTTCAGGTGCTGCGCAAACTCTCCACTTACATAACCAGAATACACGGTGCCATGCCAGCCACATCAAGCCATGGTTGACACAAGGCAATCAGACACTCAGCCTCCTCCTCCCCTGACCATAAGGATCAGCCCTCCTCAAAGACAGGTTCGTGCCCGTTTCTCTACAGAGGTGCCCCCCAGGAGAGGAGGGCCGCTGGTTCCAGTCAGGAAACTCACAAAAAGTGCAACATGGACTGTATTGACACAACATGTCTCAGTGGCTCAATGGGAGGCCTGGTGGCTACACTTCCACATGCTCAGCGTGGCTAATTTTAGTCCTGTGCAATTTGGTATGAAGCGCCTCCTTGCCCGGCTGAAGGTTCGGCATGTGGCGTTCATCCAGGAAGCAAGCTAAACAAGTGGTGGGAACTCGGCTAGGGGGACACAGTCCCTCCGGGGCCCCGTGAGAGCGCAAACACAGCACCGCTGTGCCAACCTGCGCCTGGGCAGCAGACAGGAAGGGTGAGGACAAAACCGTTGTGGCCGTCGGTCATTTTCCCCTGATCCAACGCACAAGTGAAGGCCCCCACTTGTGGAGCTCCTTGACCCTTTCGACTGCGGGACCTGCCGCCCTCCCTCCTCCCAGGTCCCCTGCTCCAAAACAAGCTTCATGCCAGCCCAGGGCTTGGAGTCCGCTGCCCACCAACGCCAGCTAATGATGCAAGTCTGAGCGGCACCGTTGGCTGGTTGGTCAGTCTGGCGGCAACTCTCATTGAGGCACCACCGGAGCCCAGCCCTCGCAGCTGACAGGCCAGACGCTGCCCGTCTGCCAGAGACCCACTGCCAGGGCGGCAGCAAGCAAGGTCTGGAATGCTGGCAGAAGGCCCCTCCAACTCAGGGGACAGGAGCGGCTACCTCCAGAAAGTGGAAGACGCACCCAACCCAGTGGCTGGTTTCACAACAGGCTTACTCATAATAAATTTGGCCACGGTTTAGGGAAATAATCCAGCAGGAATACACTGGCCAATTTTGCAGGCCATTCTGTCCTAAAATGGCATTGACCGGTGGTGGTTCAGTCCCTGTATCTGCATGGTACCCAAAACCAGCAACCCAGTTAGCCTGACATGTCAAACCAACCTGCGTGTTCTTTACGTAGATCAACATCACCCAAACTTATGAGAAATTCAATATGGGGAAAATTATATTAGCCGTGGATAAATATGGTACATAACAACCCAGAGAGGCAGCTTCAAAAAAAACCATCAGATTCAACAGAGAGAATAACAACATATACACAAACAGGCAGGGAAATTGTTAGAAAGCACCTAAGAAAATTCTATGAGAACCTGGATGCTTTCACATCAGAGGCTGGGTTCACACAGCCCGAATATTTACTCAATTGACCCAATTTGGGAGTTTGCATGACATACACCAGAATGCTAAATTAACCCCAACGGCTGTGGCTGGGCCAAAAGAACTCATCGAGATGCAAACGGAGAAATGTTCGCTTATTATGGGAATGGAGTCAAATGGGTCCCGAAGACAATAGGATCGATCCTGAACCATCAGATAGACGCCACAATTCTCACACCCCTGAAGGCGAATCCAAAGCAACCGCAGTATAACTTTGGCAGGTCGTGGGAAGGGAAAAGCAGCCGTCCGATCCCTCCGGGCACAACTCAATGCACCGAAGCGGTTCCCCTTCTTCGCCCAGCAGCTCCTGCCTTCCGAGCTCAGCCCAGGGCGGTTTCCTCGGGGAAATCGGGATTAAACAGGACCCCCCCCCCCCCTCTGCGG